GTTGAAAACCTATTTGAAGGAATCATGACAGAAAACTTCCCCTACCTGATGAAAGAAATAGACTTATAAGTCCAGGGAGTGCAGAGAACCCCAAACAAAAGGAATCCAAAGAGGACCACACCAAGACACATCATAATTAAAATGCCAAGAGCAAAAGACAAAGAGAGAATCTTAAAAGCAGCAAGAGAAAGAAACTCAGTTACCTACAAGGGAGTACCCATATGACTGTCAGCTGATTTCTCAACAGAAACTTTGCAGGCCAGAAGGGAGTGGCAAGAAATATTCAAAGTGATGAATACCAAGAACCTACAACCAAGTTTACTTTATCCAGCAAAGCTATCATTCAGAATTGAAGGTCAGATAAAGAGCTTCACAGATAAGAAAAAGCTAAAGGAGTTCATCACCACCAAACCAGTATTATATGAAATGCTGAAAGGTATTCTTTAAGAAGAAGAAGAAGAAGAAGGTAAAGATACAAATTATGAACAACAAATACACATCTAGCAACAAGTGAATCTAAAAATCAAGTGAATAAATAATCTGATGAACAGAAAAAAATTATTGGGACAGCTGGAAATTTTTGAATATTGACTATAAAATAGGTAATAATATATAAATGTCAAATTCCCTCAATTTTATAATTATAATGTGGTTATGTAAAAGTTTTTTCTATGGCCCTAGCCAGTTTTGCTCAGTGGACAGAGCATCAACCTGTGGACTGAAGGGTCCTGGGTTTAATTCCGATCAGAGGCCCATGCCAGGGTTGCAGGCTCAATCCCCAGTGGGAGGTGTGCAGGAGGCAGCCAATCGATGACTCTTTCATCATTGATGTTTCTTTCTCTTTCTCCCTCTCCCTTCCTCTCTGAAATCAATAAAAAAAGTATTTAAAAAAAAGTTTCTTCTTTGGAGGGACATGCTGTAGAAGGTGAATGGTTATGATATATGCACATTATTCTAATGTTTAGCATACAATGTTTGTGTGACATAAATATACATAGAAAAAATATGGCAAAGCATTAACCTATGAATCTACATAAAGGACATAGGAGGGTTCATTGTTCTATACTTGCAACTTGTCTGCAGATTTGAAATTTTTCACAAGAAAGTTTAAAATGAAGGAGAAAAATGAGACATTCTGCATACACACATCCCTTATAAAAATTCACTACAAGGATTTTCTGAGTGGACTACCTGGGTTCTTTCAGCAAGAGGATGGTCACAGGAATGTAAGGAGTCTTTGGGCCGAGCTTCTATGGCGTTAGAGGGTCCATCTCCAACATCCCCTTTCTGCATGCTTTCATCCGGGAAAAGACGCACGTTTTCCTTATCACTGTCATCCTTTGACCTTGGTGCTTGTGGTGAAACTTTCGGCATCACCGCTGCTGATCGGGAGCGCACAGCCCTCCCTCTCTGAACAGTCTCCCATCCTTCAGCATCTTTCCGTTCTGTGCAATTAAAGGAAGAAAATAATAAATATTTCTGTAGATAATAAAAAATTTAAAAAACCTATAAAATAAAAATAATTCCAATCTAATTCCAATTAAATATGAGTCATATACAATATGACACTGTTACACACGTGTATTGTGTGTGTGTGTGTGTGTGCATGTGCGTACACACATACACATACACGTACACACACGCAGAGTCTCTGATCCCTGTAACTACACTGTGTGGTAGGGATTACTCCTACCCCACAGACATTTTCTTTATTACCCCTAATTTACAAATAACAAAACTGAGCTTAGATCAGGAATGACTGGAGGCCAGCCGCAGGGTCCGGAAGTGTGAGTGACCGTTTATCAGAGCACAGGGCACACTATGTGCTCGCCCTCTTCTCACTTTTAATCTTCACAACCACCTATGAGTGCTAGCACCCCATCCTATCAGTAAGGAATCTGAGCCTGAGAGAGGCTCAGTCATTGCCCAAGGTCACATACTTAGTAAGTTTTCCAGGACTTAGCAAGTCCAGGCAAATGGGTCTGGTGTTCTTGTCCCAACGGCTAAGTGAAAGCTGCCTCCCCAACTCCCAGAATCCAAAGAGTGTGACGGAAGTTTTCTTCTTTTCTAACACATGTAATTGAGGCTAGAAATTTTCCTCAAAGCATAGCTTTACCTAATCCCACAAGATTTTAAATGTTCATTTTAATTCAATTTACATTTTCTAAATTTCATTTTGATTTCTTCTGACTCATGGAATATTCAGAAATAGACTCTAAAATTCCAAAAACTTGAGAATTGTATGGTTATCTTTCTGTAACCGGTTTCTAACTTAATTCCATTGTGTTCAAAAGGAACAGAGTAAGTTCAATCATCTGAAAATTTTTGGAACTTGTACAGCCATGGCAAAGTAGCCTATATCAAAATTAACCTTCTTTCCTCCAAACACGCCTATAAAAACTAGACAAAATATCCAAATGAACTGTTTAATGCCCCTGGAAATCAAGCAATACAGGCGAGAGTTGAGGAACTATATTCCCTGAGAAATGGGAAGAACAACAACATGAGATCCACATCCACCCCAAAATTTTCCCTGAAGGCATTTGGAATTCACAGTGCAGGGGAAGTGAGCCCCACCGAAACCAGCAGCCTTGTCTGGCTGCGACAGACACTGGAGCTCAATGAGTCTGAAGCAACACGGACCTCAGAGGGGCTCACTGCAGGAAAGTGAGCCAAAGAGTCTGCGTTCCGTCTTCCCTTAAGAAGTGTGACAGCTGCTGAGCTTTGCATATGCAGGCCAAGACGCCCAGGCACCCCAGAGAACACCGCAGCTGGGATGCTAATGAGCTGAGAGATCTGTAGTAACTGCAGTGCTGAGGAAACAAATGCTGGAAAACAGGAATGTAGGGGCCTTGGCAAACACCCAGGTTTACAGTTGATACCCGAGAAAGAATAAAGACAAAACTAAAACATACCAACTGTAATAAAACCTCAAACCAAGCTCTGACAGAATTAAGGTGATCTGTTGGTACTCTTATCTTCTTGCCAAAAGAAAAGTATTTTTAGAAGGAACCTCTATAATTTTTAATATACGTTATTAAACATTTAATTAAATAGTATGTGGTTTGTTGTAAAACACAATCAAGTAACTGAAAATGCCACAAAAATGTTTTTAAAGTAACAAATACACAGGTAGTTGAGATATTTTACTTTTTGGACACAGACTTTAAAAAAATAACCATTATTAATAGATTTAAGAAAATATGAATTCATCATATAGAACAGAGAAGGCATCTCAATAAAAGTTTCCAGAGTGAAGCATCAAAAAAAGAATGGGAAAGAATAAGCATTATTTGTTAGGCATTTCAATTATGTCAAGTTCATTAATCAGGCTGTGTATATCTTCACTGATTTTTCTCTACTTTGTATTATCATTGTTGGGACTGTTATGTTAAAATCTTCCAGTATGAGTATATATTTTGAAATTTCCACCCTCGTTTGTCAGTTTTTACTTTATTTCTTCCCCTCTCCCCCTGTGGGTGGTATGCACTAGGCAGCCAATCAATGTTTCTCCCATGGATGTTTCTATCTCTCTCTTCCTCTCCCTTCCTCTCTCTAAAATCAATAAAAATCTTTTTTTTAAAAGAAAATAGCCCTAGCTGGTTTGGCTCAGTGGATAGAGCGTCAGCCCATGGGCTGAAGGGTCCCTGGTTCGGTTCTATTCAAGGGCACGTATCTTGGTTGCAGACTCGATCCCTGGCCCTGGTCGGGTACGATCCCTGGCCCTGGTCGGGTACGTGTGGGAGGCAACCAATCAATGTGTCTCTTTCACATCGATGTTTCTTTCTCTTTATCTCTCTCTCCCTCCCTCTCTCCCACCCTCCATCCCTTCTACTCTCTCTAAAAGCAATGGAAAAATATCCTCGGATGAGAGTTAACAACAACAAAAAAAGAAAACAGGTGTGTGAGTAAAGATAAACAGAATATTACTTTAATATCAAAATAATATTCAAATACTAATTAAATGAAATAGTGACATGTAACTTAAAAGCATATACTGCGTAGAGAATGGAATGACTATTTTTTTTCTTTAAGTCAAAGAGTCATAAAGGACCTACATTATAAATGAATTAACAAAGGAATTGACAAACCTGAGACTAGAATGATTTCCATATGCTTTCATACATTTTTAAAGAATATTTCATAGCTGTAAGTAGGGCAGATTAATATGATATAAATGATGCGAAAGGTAAATACATAATGCTATTTGCTCCAATTTCAAATAAAACAAATATTCCCATTGATGTCCACTTGTCTACTACATAAAAATGAATGAAAGCCACTCGCCATTTTTGCAGGAAGTCTTCTGCACTGTCACTGGTGGGCAAGACTGCACAGGAGCTACATCTGAAGAAGCAGTAGTCCCTGAATGATGAGCCTTTACCTTGTCAGCCCAACTAACACCTGCAGAAGCCACACGGGCAGCAGCCACTGTGCCAGGCGAAGCCCTATGGAGAAAATTGCTGCATTAACAAATCACATAAATATAAACGTTAAATATAAAATATATACTCAGTAGGTTTAAATATTAAATAAATTCTATTTGGCCCTAGCCGGTTTGGCTCAGTGAATAGAGCATTGGCCTGAAGACCAAAGGGTCCTGGGTTCAACTCCAGTCAAGGGCACATGCCCAGGCTGTGGGCTTGATCCCCAGTAGGGGGCATGCAGGAGGCAGCCGATCCATGATTCTCTCTCATCGTTGATGTTTCTATCTCTCTCTCTCTCTCCCGCTCTCTTCCTCTCTCTGAAATCAATAAAAAACAATTAAATGAATGAATGAATGAATGAATCTCCAATGAGAATAACACCTGATTTCTTATCAGAAACCATGGAAACCAGAAGGCAGTGAGAGGACATATTCAAAGTGCTGGGGGAGGGGGAAGGGAGGGGAGACTTTAAACCAAGAATTATATGCACTGCAAAACTATCCTTCAAAAGCTAAAGGATAAAGTAAGATATTCTCAGATAAAACTTGAGAAAAACTGTCACTAGCAGACATGTTCAACAAGTCATACTACAGGGAGTCCCCTACAGGCTGAAATGAGAGGACACTACAGAGTAACTTGAATCCACACGATGAAATAAAGAACACCAGTGAAAGTTACTACACAGGTATACAAAAGACCATGTAGATGTATTTTTTCTTCTGTAACTCTCTTCTTGTCCTGATTTAACAGACAACTTCATAAAACAATGATTATAAAACTGTGTTGGTGAGATTATCATGTACAAAGATATAATTTATATGACAATAACAATGATACTGTCCTAACCAGTTTGGCTCACTGGATAGAGCGTCGGCCTGCGGACTGAAAGGTCCCAGGTTCGATTCTGGTCAAGGGCATGTACCTAGGTTGCGTGCACATCTCCAGTGGTGGGTGTGCAGGAGGCAGCTGGTCGATGTTTCTCTCTCATCGATGTTTCTAACTCTCTATCCCTCTCCCTTCCTCTCTGTAAAAAACCAATAAAATATATTAAAAAAATAACAATGATACTATGTAGATCTATCTTTTTGAAAGAACTGTCAGTTCTTGTTATGAGTCATTTAGCATGGAGTATGTTTATGGGTTTAGATTTTGTGCACCTAATTATTTCTGAATATATTATATTTCCTAAAGTTAAACTGTACTGTCCTGGGTTTTTAAAAAACATTTTATTCAAACAATTTCGAACAGATACACAACCATATACATGGGTATTTTTGTAACAGAATATCTGTTTTATAATACTTTAAGGGTGTTAGCCACAGAAAATAATTTACAGCAATGAAAGCCTTAGTAGTTTTTTTAGTTCATCTCACCCAAAATTTAAGCTTCTTCGGGCATTTGATGTCACACTGATTCTATCTGCCGATGGACTTGGAAGCACGTGACGTCCCGGAGACATCTTCTTTACTTCCCACGCCAACGACGTCGGTCTGCCGATTCAAGACAGATGATGTTAGCAGAGAAAAGAGAGGAAGCCTCCTGCTTTCTAGAAGTTGCCAGCAGGTGGAACCATAATTAGGTCACAATCTCTTCCTGGAGCACTGCTGACCATGAAGTGACTGTATTACCAGTAAGCACTCACGGATGATGCAGAGTCGGGGTTTCCCACCCACGTTAGCGTAGCAAACACCCTCCTTAAGTAAAAAAGGCCAGGAGGTGCAGAGACAGGAGACACATAGTACGTTTGTGCTCCGAAAGCCTCCACACGCCCAGCTAAACACATTTTAAAATGTGGTCCAATGGCTCTGGTTGGGTGGCTCGGTTAGTTGGACTGTCATCTCATACACAGAAAGGTTACGGGTTAGATGTCTGGTCAGGGCGCATGTGGAGGCAACCAATCAATGTTTTCCTCTCAGATCGATGTTTCTCTCTCTCTAACAAAAACATACCAGTATCTTCTGACGAGGCTTAAAAAAAAAGAAAAATTACTCCTTTATAAAAAAGTGTTGCAATGGTACTGATTCAGGCTAGGGTGTCTGCTGTCCTGGAGAGCTACTAGTAAGCGTGTGGTCCTGGGATCCAGACGGAAATGCAGTGAGGAGGCCGAAGGAATAGCCAGGGAAACGTGAAGTCTCCTTTCTCTACCTGAGATCACCCGTGTGAGTGGGAGCGTAAACACTTTTTTGCTCTTTGCTAGGAAAGCTAACTCCTCCTTCCTCACAGGCCCACAGCCAATCAGCTGCACAATCTCCACTAAAAAGTTTTCCTCCAGCAAAGTGTCCTACACCCTATGCCTTCAGTCGCCGCCTAACTCCCCAGAATCTCTGTGCCTCTTACTCTCCATTCAACTAGTGATTTTGATTTTTTTTCTCACAATGTAACACGAATTGTTAGAAAACAAGAAAATTTAGATAAAAGATTATCCAAATCAAGTCTAAAGCATTTGATAATTAACTGCCCAATCACCTTTCGCAAAGGTTGTAACAAATGATACGTCCACCAGACGATACGCGCCCATTTCCCTGGAAGCTTGCCAGGGAAGCTTCTCCTTCTTTTAGAATTCTCATTGGCCTGTGAAGAAGACAGCACTGCCAGCAAGTCTACAATATGTACTATCTGGCACTTCACAAAAAAAATGTTTCCTGAGTCCTGGGATAGAGTGTCAGTCTTGTAATGACTTCTTTTTCCTACAGGAATTTCAGTCAAGATTGTTTAATGTTTTAAAAAATGCTATTTGTGTTTGTTTTTCAAATTTTTGTTTATGATTATCATCACTACTTAGGCTGAACTTTTTAACAACCATTTGAATTTTTTATTTTGAGATTTGCATATTGGTACCTTTTGCCCATTTTTTCTACTGGGATTTGTAACATTTTCTAATTGATTTGAAATCACTTCCTACCACTACTATTACTATTATGGCTATGAATCCTTTGGATTAGATGATGTACCTATTTCTCTTTTAATTTTTTATGTGTAATAACATTTTTTCCTAATAAATCAAGCCTATCAATATTTTCTTTTGTGGTTTCTTCCTTTGTCTTACAGAGTCCTTACCCACAATAAAAATATGTAACTATGTATCTACTAGAGGCCCGGTGCATGAATTTGTGCACAGGTGGGGTCCAGCCAGCCTGCCCCAATCAGGCCAGGCTGGCCGGGGAGAGGGGTTGCAGGCAGTTGCCGGGCTGGCCCCGCCCCTGATCAGGTGGTGGGACTGATCAGGGGCGGGGCTGTCCAGGGCCCAGGCCACGGGTGGTTTGGCTGGCCAGCCAGCCCTGCCCCCTGGTCAAACTCCCAGTGGAACTCCCAGTTAAGGGGACAATGTGCATATTAGCCTTTTATTATATAGGACTAGAGGCCCAGTGCACAAAATTTGTCCATGGGTAGGGTCCCTAGCAGCTGCCGGCTGCCGGCCGGGGCCTTCTTTTATTCCGCACCGCTCCCTGGTGGTCAGCGTTTATCATAGCGAGCGATAGAACTCCCCGTCGAACTCCCACAGGGATACTTTGCATATTAGCCTTTTATATATATATCGATATTTTTGTCTCTAAATATGTACAATTTCAGCTTTTATATTTAAGTCTCAAGTCTAGGTGAAATTAATTTTGATGCATGACTTGATAAATATAAGCTGAATAATGCCATTTATAGGGAACTTAAGGTCGCTCTCCGTATCTGAGAGCTGCCTTGAGAGGCAAAGAGAAGAAATGACGTTAACTGGTTAAGGTAAGGAGAAATGCCCCAGGTGTTTCTGAACCATGAGATGGCTGTGAAGGCTGGACTGGGCCTCAGACTCTCTCCCAATACAATCCTCCACACAGCCACCGCTGGTGGCCTGGAGTTTGCAAGCAAGAAAGAAAAATATGCCAAAACCGGTGTGGCTCAGTGGATAGAGCGTCGGCCTGCAGACTGAAAGGTCCCAGGTTCGATTCCGGTCAAGGGCATGTACCTGGGTTGCGGGCACATCCCCAGTGGGAGATGTGCAGGAGGCGGCTGATTGATGTTTCTCTCTCATCAATGTTTCTGGCTCTCTATCTCTCTCCCTTCCTCTCTGTGAAAAATAAATAAAATATGTTAAAAAAAAAAGAAACAAAAATATAATTAGCTCTTCATTTGCATTGGTGGTTACATTATAGAAACCCAGGAACTGTGGGTAAAGCAGGTGGGCGCACGCGCGCGTGCACACACACACACACACTCAAAATTTTTACTGTGAGAAACACAAATTTTAAAAGGATCAACACATCATGGTTTCCCTGAGTTTGGTTTCCTGTGGAATCAAACCTTCTGGATCTGTCTCTTGGGATCCCTTCACTCTCTTGGTTCCCCCAAAGGAGGCATTCTCTACTGGCTGGTTCCACTTCCTGAGGCTGGACCAACATTAAATCCAAGGAAAGAGGTAGCCTGGGTAATAGGCATCACTGCAGCTGCATGTGACTGGGCCCAGATCAAAAGGGATCAGGTTTCACTCAATAAAAACCTTTTATGGCTCAAAATAAAGTGTACAGTTTTATCATGTCTACCGTGCCCTGCATAACCTGGCTCCAGCCCACCTGTCTAGGCTCACCTTCTGCTCCGCCTCCCCTTGCTCCCCTCACTCCAGCCCTGACTCCACTGCGCTCTCCCACCTCCTGGGTATCAGGGATCCATCACCTCCCATGGAATGACTCCTCTCTCTGCCAGATGAGTCCTCCGATATTGCCTCACTAAAACAGGCCTCCCGGGGGAGCCTTCCCGGACTCCACAAACCGGCTGAGGGAGCCCGTTCTTATGCTCCCAGACCACACTGCTTCTTTCTGATGCCACTTTGCACCCAGCTAAGAACTTGGCATCAACCTTTCCTGTCAATGCACGCACCCACCACACATTTCACGAGGGCAGGGACGGAGTGTTTTCCACCACTGCAGCCCCAGAGGCTGGCACATCGCACTCAGATGTGTGTGCTGATTCCAGATGAACATGTGTAAGGTGGCTTTGGTCTCTCGTTACTCCCCTAATTAAAAATCATCCATTTTCCTTACGGTCTACTACTTTAAGAACTACTATACCATTCCCTACCTTTCTTTCCCTTCATACATGCTCTGCACTTCCATGGCTGTCTTAACTTACCCCCTTCATGTGAAAGGCCAACCACTGTTAAAATCCATCATACCCTTTAAACACTTCTGCTACCTCCACGAATTCCTTCCTAGTCTATCCCGTCCTTTTCTGAAGAGCTGGATTAGTTTTTTATAGTCATATGTTCTAATTTACCCTTCCCTTAGACTACAAATTCATGAAAGTAGTGAACGTATCAAACTCCAGCAGTGAAATTTCTGCACTGGATAAACGGGCTTGCACTAGTAGGTACCAAATAAATATTTGTTACTCAACTGAATGAGAAATGCGGAGGTCAAGTTCATTGTCAATTTCAATGACTGCTTTAGAAAACGCTGGCAGCTACAATTATAAAGGCCAGAGCTCATTACCTGCTCTGAGCATCGGTCTTCTCTAGCTTTTCCTGAAGTTGAATCCAGTCAATCAATGCTTTGAAATCTCTTACATAATTATCCAGCATCATCAGCACCTCCTAATTGAAAAAAACAGCAAACATTAAATTCCATTCTTTGACTAAAAGTTTTTTAAAAAAAACACTCAGAGTGAAGGACTTAAAAATTAATAATTTCTACATTATACTCCTTATTGAGGAAGCTGCAAAATATACCGATCTTGATTTTTGGTTGTTGTTTTCATTCTTACTGTTTGGCAAGAAATTAGTGAAGCTGAGAATCTAAAAACCAAGAGATGGTATTGCTATTCCTCTCAAGACTTCTAGAATGATCATTCTTTTTTTAAAATATATTTTTATTGATTTCAGAGAAAGAGAAAGGGAGAGAGATAAAGAAATATCAATGACGCCTGATCAGCGTGGCTCAGTGGTTGAGTGTCGACCTCTGAACCAGGTGGTCACAGTTCGATTCCCGGTCAGGGCATATGCCTGGGTTTCGGGCTTGATCCCCAGGGTGGCGCATGCAGGAGACAGCCAATCAATGATTCTCTCTCATCATTGATATTTTTCTCTCTCTCTCTCCCTCTCCCTTCCTCTCTGAAACCAATAAAAAATATTTTTTTTTTAAAAAAAGAAACATCAATAATGAAAGAGAATCATTAGTTGCTGCCTCCTGCATGCTCCCCACCAGAGATTGAGTCCGTAACACAGGCATGTGCCCTGACCGGGAATCAAACCGTGACCTCCTAGTTCACCATTCGATGCTCAAGTATTGAGCCACATCATCTGAGCCAGAATGTGATTCTTTTAACCCTCTTTATTGTGACGTTAATAAAAAGTACACAAAACACAAATGTACAGATAAATCGTTTCAAAGCACAGACCCAAGCAACACCACCCAGGACCAAAGTATAACAATTCCAGTCTCTACAAGTGCCCTGGTATCTCCTCCCTTTTACAACTCCATGTCTTTCCAAGGTAACCACTGCTTCAATCTGTAATAGTTCAATTTCACCTTATTCCAAAATCCATATAAATGAACCCATAGTGTATGTATTATTTTGTGGCTTCTTTTTTACAGCTGTTTACTAGGTTCATCCATATTTCAGTGTACCTGCAATTCATTTATTGTCAATGTCCAAGGTCACAACTGAACAATATTCTTTAAATGGATATTTATTTATACAACCAACTGTTGAATTAGATGATTTCAAATTCTGGATACTACAAATTATACACCGCTACTTATGCAGACGTGCTCTACACGGACTGCTGTTAGCGTTTCTGTTGGGTATAAGCCCAGGAGTGACACTGCGGAGCCACAGGGCAGGTGTATGCCCCACTTTACACACGATACACACTGGTTTTCCCAGGAGGCTGCCATCCCACCAGCAGAAAAGAGAGTTCCCTTTTCTCCACATCCTTCCAATACTTATTTGTCTTACTGGCAATAGCCATTGTAATAGGTGTGAGGTGGTATCTCATTGTAGTTTTTGTTTTTTAAATACATTTTTATTTATTTTAGAGAGAGAGGGAGAGAGAAAGAGAAACATCAATGAGAGAGAAACATGGATCAGCTGCCTCCTGCACACTGATCCTCTTACTAGGGATCGAGCCTGCAACCCAGGAAGACCAGGAATTGAACCAGTTACCTCTTGGTTCATGGGTTGACCACTGACCCACACTGGCCAGGCTCATTGGAGTTTTGATTTGCATTTCCCTTATAGCTACAATTTTTTCTTTTATCTATTAGCAACTGTATGTCTTCCTTGGAAAAGAATCTATTCAGGTCCTCTGCTAATTTTTTTAAATGTTTTTATTGATCTTTAGAGAGAGATATAGAAATCTCTAAATCTCTGGATGAGAAATATCACTGATCAGCTGCCTCCTGCACGCCCCCTACTGGGGATGGAGCCTGCAACCGGGCATGTGCCCTGACCCAGAATCTAACCAGTAACTCTTGGTTCATGGGTTGACGCTCAATCACTGAGCCACAGGGGCCAGACTCTCTGCTCACCTTTTAACCAGTTTTTTCTCCTTGTTAAGTTGTATGTGTTCTACAACAGCCAAGACATGGAAACACCCCAAGTGGCCTTCGGTGGGTGAATGGATAAAGAAGAGGTGGTACATATCTACAAAGAAATACTACTCGGCCATAAAAAAGATGAAATATTCCCAAATGAAGTACGTCCATGGAAAAGGACAAAAACCATAGGATTTCACTCATTTGTGGGATATACAACAAAAAGCAACCAAAGAACAAACAAAACACCAAACACAGAAACAGCAACAAAGCGATGGCTACCAGAGGAAACGGGGGTGGGAAGAATGAAGACAGCCGAGGGTCAAACACAAGGTGGAGGACGGAGCCCAGATGCTGGGCCATGTGCTTGTACAGGTGTGTGCTAGACAGCTGCACCCCGTGACATGTCTGACACTGTTAGCAATATTGCTCCAGTAAGTTTAATTTTTTAAAATGATTACTTGTTCTATGAAAACATTACTTTTCCATAACTAACTTTTAAACTGACTTTATAGTATCAGTGGTACTCAAAGACCTCAAAATCACTTTTCAAATATAAATGCTTAAAAATTTTGGCTACACTTTGGACATTAGGCCCAACACTAACAATAAACTACACCTACTTACTCACAAACAAAATACAGCACCAACCTCACTTTAGTCACAAAAGTTATATGCTACTTTAAAAGACCCTTCTGAACAAAGAAGTATTGTTTATCTCCTTTCAAAGATAATCCTTAGTGACAAATCACTGGTAATAGTCTTCTACAATCAGGAAAAGGGGAAAATTTTTATTTAGTTGGCTTCCTTTTCTCAATTCTACTAATATAATTAAAATTAGTTCACTGAATTCATTCAACTTAAATCACTTAGAGCAAAGATTAAATTCAGAATAATTTATTCCATAAGTTTTCTGAATCTCACTTTTAAAAGAAGAGGAGGAGGAGGAGGAGGAGGAGAAACAATCTCCACAGGACCAGACTATCGCAGCTATACCTCTGATACTCGTTGGCATGGAGAAAGTCCATTTGGTGGCTTAAACAGCCTATTCTGAGGATGTTTAGCTCCTCTTGTCAGGAGCGGTCGCAGTGGAACCGCGCAGCTATAACCCGAGCCACGTTTCACGAACAAGGGGACGCAAACAGGACAAGTGCCTCGCAGCCTCGCAGCCAGCGATGCACATCCTCCCCACAGCCACGAAGGCCATTCTGTCAAGCAGGATGGAAAAGAACAAAAGTGCCTCTGAAAGTAACGTTACAGGCACTCAGATAAGTACATATAGATGTACAGCTACAATTACCAATGACTTTACCAATTGGCTGCAACAGATTTGATTGGTTTGTAATGAATTCTCGTTACTGGCGCGCAGTGCCGGGCGGTTGGCGCCATCCCTTTGTCCTGCTGACACCTAACACCAGCGCACAGGCCCTTGGGCCCAGGGCATCAATACAGCCTCCAACTCAGCTCCAGGAGTGAGCAGTGCTGAGCCCAGTGGTGATGAAGGGGTGAAAACACGCATCACATGAGAAGGCAGTGATAAAGGGAACCTTATGAAAGACAGAGCTTCACAAAGTTTAAAGAGCATGATTTTTAAGACCGGCTTTTTTTTAAAGCTACTAGTGGAATAGTAGTTCATGGAAATCATCTGAAAGAAAAAGAGCAGATAAACCCTCGCAATCATGTTAATAACATCATTCACAGTTATCCGCACGAGCAATCCAGCCCTCCCGCAGACCCTTGTGGGAACCAGTTGAGAGGATGGCTCCCACCTCACTACCTGCGCCCTCTCCCCACCCACCCTCTGGTCCACTTCATAAGGGAGAAGGGGAAACGCAGTGCTGATGGTGAGCGCACAGTGTTGTTGGAATGTCAGTTCTCAACAAGTCCTGCAGGAGTGGCTGATGGCATAACAGGCACATCATTAAATGAAAAAAATGAGAAATTCAGCCTCTTGATTACAGAGGTGGGCCCTAGTCCACAATCCTGGCTGAAACAGAAAACATACTTTTTACTATCATGTTATACTTGTCATGTGAATTATGTAACAGAGCTATTATTAACTGCAAAAACACAAAAATCACAAATAGTGACCAATCTTGTCAATACTGCAAATCAAGGGTTGACTCCACCTGCAGAATGAGGGAAACCCTGGGTCATGTATCTCACAAAGATACTAATCAAATGAGATAATGGATAAAAGAATTAAAAAAAAAAAAAAACACCTCTAGGTAGCATACACCCAGCACATGTGTTGACCAAATGCTATGTTGTGTATTTTCATCTCCACCTGTATGTCCTGGAGGGGAGAGTAGTCGAGCTGGGTATGAAAATACTGTTAAGCTCCCAGGTTTCATTGCTCAGTTTAAGCCTCTGAGCATCTGGGCAAAGCACAAAGAATAGAGACCACACCTCTCTCTGCTCTCGCTGTCAAAACCTCCATCGTTACATCTACAACCTGAACAGGTTTCTATTCCTGTTAGACCGTCACGAAGCGTTGGCAGACGACTGACAGCCAGAAATACAAGCCACGCTGTCTATGGCCAAGTCCAGCCTCTCAACGCAGACCAGAGAACAGGCAGGAGTTTCCTCTGCTCAGCACAGAGACATACTGACCACCGGACAAACTCACTTCCATGAAGAGGCACACTCTTTACAAACAGATTTGACTTCTTCACTCAACCTTCTGTTATTTTTCACCATAAAAGCCAACAAGCTGCTAATCTGATCTCTAGGGCTGACCTGCAGATTATCTAGGCCCACATACTCACTTTAATAAGAAAATATAACTCAAAATTAAGTCCAATAGTGTTCTCTACCACAACATGCTGACTCATCAAACTCTGTGGATGATTTTGCCCCAAAATATTTTTTAAAAGAAGAAATTTTATATGTTGATAGTAACAATATTGTGATAATCAAACCATAAATTTGGATGGTTTCAATTACTCTTCATTCTAAACATCTGCTTCTGACGAATCCTAACTCTAAGCTAGTCTAAAGCCTGTTTTGGTTGTTTCCAATTTTAGAGGAAAGGCAGCTGCTGCCTCAACGCATAACTTTCCTTTGACCCGACATACATTTCAGAGGTCGGCAGCCAGTCCAGGGCTCTCAACCCTGCTCACTGTAGAAACGGAGAGGCTGCCTTCGTGACATGTGCATAAAGATGTGTCACTCTGGACTTTCTCAATTAATTTTATTCAGTATCAAGTAATACAGTATAGTTTGTATTTACTAAAAAGCCAGGCTTTGTAGTGAATTTTTAGAGACAGCTCAGGCTGTGTGTCTGTTTAATATCCTATTACAAACACAAGGTTATCTAAAAATAGAAACATGCCTCTCTGAGGACATGCCACCCCCACCCAGGACGGTTTACGGGTAGCCATCAATCTCACTGTTCCCACCCAGAGTGAGTTAGGAGAGTGATAAGTATCTCAACGAAAAGGGAGCAATGTCTAATTAAAAACAGTGAAAGGGAAACCAAAGAATGTGGAAAATCTCACTAGTGCCACCTACAGTATCAAGGGAGAATGAAGATAAGAGATTTAAAAAATGTGTGTGTGTGCGTGTGCGTGTGCGTGTGTGTGTGTGTGTGTGTGTGTGTGTGTGTGATTTCTTGCCCAGGACTATATATCAAGACAGCTTTCTACCAAATCTTGCACACAATATAAAAGTACATAATTAGGTAATGCAAAAATCAACAACCAAAGTACCCCTGAAAAACCAAGAAACACCCAAGCTCTCATAGAAGCAGCGCGGACAGTGGTTGCAGGGGTGGGGGAACTAGGGAGAGGCTGGTCAGAGCGGACAAGCTGTCCGTTGTAACAGGAGCGAGTTCTGGGACCTACCGTGCAGCCCTGTGACGACAGTTAATACACGGAGGGAAACGAGCAAGGCAGGTGGAGCAGAGACTGGAGAGTCTGGCTTCAAACGGATCGCAAAGCCTCACACAGAACTTACCTTACATTCCACCACACTCTGATCTGATTCACAGGTGACATAGATTTCATCGACTGCCCGGCGAAGATTGTCAAAAAGAAATGCCCAGTATCTAGCTCTTAGATCAATTTTGCGAGGGTGCCTTGTTTTAGTGGGACTTTTATCAAAGTGTTTATCTCCAGTTGTAGCTGTTATTTTACAATCTCCCGCGGTGTTCTGGTGAAGCAAAACAAAACATGAAAAAAATGTTTTGAAAATCCTCCACGGGTTGGATTATTACATAAAGCACGTGTTTCAACATAAATACTTAAAAACACGACATCATTCTTCTCAGCTTGTATCACAGCACACTGAAATCACTTAAACAAAGCTTGTGAAGGTTTGTAAAGTTAATTCTTATTTCAGGCAGGTCTCATGGAAGGTATTAGGAGGACCTCAACTGTGACTAGATCCTTATTCAAAAAGGAGCACTAAAGAGGCTCCTGATTTATTGGAAGAGTGTATGGCACATTTACACACATTGACAAATAATAAAGCAAGGCCAACATTTTGAAACAGCTTGCATATACTCTTTTCATTGAAAAAATAATAACATACACTACACAGTTCTATTCAGCTGCTTAATTTTATTGTAAACCAATTTAAAGTAAAAATTAATATATAAGTGCAAAACACCTGACTAGGAGAAAACATGATGGATTACTATCACCAAGCACATGCAACTGCAACCTCCCCGCCCCAGCAGCACCTGCAGCCACAGGGAGCAGGACTCCCAACACGGGTGGCAACACCTGCGGGCCCGACAGCCCCAGAAGCAGTGCAGGTGCCCGCTACCCAAGCTCCCCCGCCCACCAACGCAACCCCCATGCCATGGAGACACTGCCCAAGACCCACAGGACTCCAGACTCAGCGGGCACCGCCATCCCAGTGGCAATACTGCAACAGCAGAGACCGGGCAGCAGCCAGGTACCAGCGACCCCCAAATACACAAATAGCAACGAAGAGGGCAGCTGTGACACCTCTGGCGGACGCCTTGGAAGGTAGACAGCGCTGGCTATCATCTCTAAGGAGTCAGCGCCGGTAAGAGAAACCAAAACCTGTCCTATAGCACCACCTACTGGAACACAAAAAAAGGCCTCTAATTACCAACCTGTTGAATTGCTAGGCAAAAAAAAGCTTTACCTAAATTAAGAAAGTTGTTCTCTACTTCAAATTCACTGGCTGAGGGAAAACCCATCAAGCACCATGAATAATCACAGTAACACAGCAGCGCACACACAAGAGACAAATCTCCAGAAACCATGGAAGACTGTGACCAAAATGATCGAGAATTCTAAATGGCCGGGTGGGTGGCTCTGGTGGTGAGAGCCAGACAGGAATAGTTTATCCAGCAAAGTCATGCTTCGGGTATAAAGGAGAAATAAAGACTCTCTCCAACAAAAAACTGATGGAGTTCACCACCAGGGGACTTGGCTTCTGCCCTGGCCGGTTTGCCTCAGTGGATGGAGCGTCGGCCTGTGGACTAAAGGGTCTAGGTTGGATTCCGGTCAAGGGCACCTACCCTGGTTGTAGGCTCTCAATCCCCAGTAGGGGCGTTCAGGAGGCAGCTGACCAATGATTCTCATCATTGATGTCTCTATCTCCCTCTCTCTCACCCTTCCTCCCTGAAATAAAAAATATATTAAAATAAAAAGAAAAGACTTGTCTTCTAAGACATGTTGAAAGGAGCTCTTCTGCCAGAAAGGAAAAGACGAAAGTCTGACAAGGTGATAGGGATTATCAGAATTGAGTGTTAAAAACATAATTATTGCATAAAGGTTAAAGGGGGAAATCATTAAAAATAACTATTGCTGCTTCAATTTGGTAATGAACACATACCATAAAAATAGATAATTTGCAACAACAAATACATAATAGGGGAGTAAGGATGAAACTTGTATAGGCGAGTGAGGATACGATGCTATCAGAAGGACAACTGTATATGAACTCTGGACGCCACAAAACAGAAATCTGGCCCAGTGGCGTGGCTCAGTGGTGGAGCACCACCCATGACCAGGAGGTCACCGGTCCGATTTCCAGTCAGGGCACAAGCCTGCCTTGTGGGCTCCATCCCAGTGAGGGCATGCAGGAGGCCGGTTGATGTTTCTCTCTCATCGATATTTCTCTCTCTATCCCTTTCCCTTCCTCTCTCTAAAGAAGGAAATCAATAAAACAGAAATCTAGATCAGAGACACAAACATAAAAAAGAGAAAATGAAGACAATCATCATAGAAAATCACCAAATTAAAATATCAGTCAGAAACACAAGAGAAAATCAACAATGGGGCTATAGAGCAATCAGAAAACCAAAAATGGCAAGAGTATGGCTTCATATATCAGTATCACCTTAAATGTAAATGAACAACTCACCAATCAAAAGGTACAGAGTAGCTGGACAGATGAAAAAACAAGACCCAACAATACACTGCCTTAAGGAGACTCATCTCAGTTACCAAGACAAACACAGGTTCTAAGGGAAGGTGTGGAAACTAGTGCTCCAAGCAAATGGTAGCCAAAAGAAAGCATATGTAGCCATACTTTATCAGACAAAACAATGGACATTATATATAAATGGGCATTATATAAAGGACACAACCAAAAAGCAAACGCAACATTAATATATATGTGCCCCACTTAGAAGCAAGTAAATACATAAGATAATTATTAACAGATCTAAAGGTATATATTTACGATAATAGGAGACTTTAGCTCCTCACTTAGACAGTAGGGCAAGAAAGAAATATTGGCCTTAAATGACATGAGTCCAGATGTCCTTAAATAGATATATACAACATATTCCATCCAGAAGCGACAGAATATACATACTTCTCAAGTGCACACAGACAGACCATATTTTGGGACACAAAGTAAGTCTCCATAAATTTAAGATTGAAATTATATCAAACATCTTTTCTGATCACGATAGTATGAAACTAGAAATTAACTACAAGAAGAAAAATGAAAAATCACAAATATGTGGAAATTAAACAACATAAACTGAACAATAAATGGGTCAATGAAGACATCAAAGGAGAAATCAAGAAATACATGGAGACAAATGAAAATAAAAATATGACACCAGCATCTGAGGCAGGGGCAGGGAACCTCTTCCCGCCAAGGGCCATCTGGATATTTATAACGTCACTCAAAGGCCACACATAGTTATCACCCTAAAAACTAGCCTGCTGCCCTAACCGGTTTGGCTCAGTGGATAGAGCGTCGGCCTGCAGACTGAAAGATCCCAGGTTCGATTCCAGCCAAGGGCATGTACCTTGGTTGCAGGCACATCCCCAGTAGGAGGTGTGCAGGACGCAGCTGATGGATGTTTCTCTCTCATTGGTGTTTCTAACTCTCTATCCCTCTCCTTTCCTCTCTGTGAAAAATCAATAAACTATATTTAAAAATAAAACAAAAAACTAGCCTGCTGTATTTGGTCAAACATTTAACCAACTCACCCCTAATGCCTTGGTTTCTCTTACCTGAATCATGAAGAAATAGAAAATCTGAACAGACCAATCACTAGTAAGAAAATTGAAACAGTTATCAACAGCCTCCCCCAGACCAAAAGTTCAGGACCAGAGGCTTCCCTGGTCAATGCTCCCACCCAGTCAAAGATTCAGTATCTCAACTTCCTCATTTGTAAGTGAAGACAGTGATAAAGCCTACGTCACACGGTTATTATGATAAACAAATAAATGAATGTTTGTGAAGTATTTAGCACAAGCTGTGCACATAGTACTTTATAAATGTCGTTCAGCCCTGGCTGGCGTTTCTCAGTGGTTAGGATGTTGGCACGCGCACCGGAGGGTCTCGGGTTGGATTCCTGGTCAAGGGCACATACCTGGGGTGCAGGTCCGATTCCCACCCCGGATCGGTTGGAGTGAGTGTGGGAGGCAACCAACTGATGTATCATGTCGATGTTTCTCTCTCCCCCCCCTCCTTTCCTCTCACCCTCTCTAAAAAATTAATGGAAAGTAAATTGTATTTTATAACTAAAATAAAAAGTGAGTAAAGAGTTGCATATGCTTTACCTGTTTAGCAGTTTTATGAGTGCCCTGAATTGTCCTCTTTGGTTTTCCACCAGTTTGAAATTTAGATTTTCCTTTAAGGCAAGAATAAACAGATAAATATACAGATCGACAGACAGACAATATAAAATAGAACCACACAAATCACTCAGACCTACTGACACACAACCTCCCTCTATTCACAGTCAACCTGAACCACGGCTGTAACTGAAACAAATTCCCAAGGCCCCAGAGACTATTTTCATGGAACAGCTTCCTCAGAACAGGAGTGGATCAAGTCCTTAAAGAGGTCAGAGTTTCTGATGATTTAAAAATAAGGTCAAACGGAAAACTTCTGGAAAAAATTTGTTTCATGAGTGAAAACATGAATAAAAATAAAATTTAAAAAGATGAAGTTAGTGATACTTCTCAACTTATACATACAGGTCTGAAAAATACTTACTTGAATTCAACAATAAAATTACCTTTACAACATAAAACTCAGTATTTTCTGTTTTGATGAACTTACTAATGTATGACATAGTTTCATTTTGAAACGGGAGGTTTTTTCGTTGTTTGTATTTTTGCAGTCAGACATCTCTCTCTCACTTGTTCTTTTTTTCTTTTTCATGAATGAGTCTGAGATACTTCATAACACTGTGGATTTCTATCTCAAGCAGTATTTTAACCTCGATTCCTTTCTTCAAGAAGACTTAAACAAACCACCTTCTGCCCTGAGCAGAGAGCTGGCCCGTGCACCGAAGGGTTGCAGGTTCACTCCCGGTCAAGGGCACATGCCTGGGCTGCAGATTTGATCCCCAGCCCAGCCGGGGTGCGTGCGGGAGGCAGCCAATCTGTGTGTCCCTCTCTCGTTGATGTCTATCTCTCTCTCTCCCCCTTCCTCCCTCCCTCTCCACCACTCCCCCTCTCCCCCTCCCTTCCACTCTCTCTAAAAATCAACAGGAAAAATATCCTTGGGTGAAGATGAACAACAGAAAATATACCGACCATCATCCTCTTTGCTTTCTAGTGGAACACTCCAAGCTATTAGATTTCTTGCTGTGCGACCCTCCTCTGCGACTATTCTCCTGACTTTGTCATGGCTGTTGGAGCGCTGGACTGAAGCCTGTGTACAGAAAAGAGAATATTGATTCAATTATTAGTCACGATATAGAATATATTTGGCAGATAAATGCATTATTTCTTATGTTTCTCAGAAAGAAAACACACTCTATTCATTTTTCATGATCCCGTTCCTATAAAAACGTAACTAGTAACTTACGTAGAATCGTTTTGAACATTTTAGTCTAAGTAAGCATCAGGGTTTGAAGTGCAATAAATGAGTCTGAGATGCTTCATAACACTGTGGGTTTCCATTTCAGGCCGTGTTTTAACCTCGATTCCCTTCTTCAAGAAGACTTAAACAAAAACATTTCTTTCATCCAAAGTCACAGTGTGCCACCTAGTGCTACATGGAGACTTTTACAAAGGTTTGCTCAACTATTAGATGTTTCAAAAAAAGCAAACACCGGTTTCATGTAAAAGTTTTTATATTCAACTCTTATAATATATAGTCTAACAAAGCAATTGTTCATAATATTCACCAAAGTGTCTACAGATTTCTGAAACTTGCTCCTAGACTGGGGAAAAATTATTTTCACTCATCTCTAAATAATTTCTACTTGTAGCAACTTCACTGATAATCTGGAACTGTTGTCAAGCATTGCGTATTAAATGTTTATGTCTGTACCTACATAGAAGTATCTCCTTACACAGGAATGAAGAGAGAGGGTGTAAAGGAATGAAGAGAGAGGGCTTCACAAACTGCCGGGACCCCCGAGGCCGCACAAGGAGGGAATGAGAAGGAAGGAGGTAGAGCACAGTGATGTGCTGGGAACCCCGAGTGGAAACATCCGATTTGTTTGGTCATGGCCACCCCAAACCTCCCAGGGCGGTTTCCAGGAAGACTGGGCTCCCCCAGAGACTCCATTCCCTCCTCCTCCTGGGCTGGAGTGCTATTGTTTAAGGAGACACTTAGGCCTGCCTGAAAATCTCGAGTTAGAGGAAGAAGTGTAAGGAAGGGAACCTGTCTGTCCAGGCTCTGGGGAGTCTCACCACGTTGATCCCATCCCAGACCCAGAGAGCGCTGGCCCAACCTGCCAGCTTAGGGAGAGGGTGGCTTTTTCAGAGCTGGCTGGGTCCTGGGCAGAGCAGCAGGGCAAGCTGTTGGCATGGATTTATATCTTTTTAAAATTAAGACAAAAAGGAAGCCGGCTTCCACTTGTGTATCTGCCCTCGGTCCCACAAATGGTAGGAGTGGGGCTCTCAGGTTGAACACTACATTCACAGGTGTTCACTTCATTACTGTGCTTCACAACAAATGCGTTCCCTAGAGTAACTTGTATGTAACAAATGTGACATCAAAAAAGATAATAAATAAAAAATAGGTTGGTCCATCTGGTGTGGGGTGTGGCTCAATGGTTTGAGCCTCGACCCAGGAACCAGGAGGTCACCGTCTGATTCTGGTCAGGGCACTTGCTTGGGTTGAGGGCTTGATCCCCAAAATGGAACATGCAGGAGGCAGCCGATCCATGATTCTCTCTCATCATTGATGTTTCTATCCTTTCTCCCTTCCTCTCGCTGAAATCAATAAAACATTTAAAAAAAAAATGGGTGGAAGAAAGAAAGGAAAGAGGGAGGCCCCCCCAAAATTAAGGTTAGTGTTTGAGGTAGTTTGATTACTTACCATCATTCTTTAATTCCCTTCTATGCCAAGAAGTGCTCATTTATCAAATAAGCCCATGGGGTATGGCTCCTAGAATTAAAAAACAATTAATTATACATACATACACACACATACACACTAGTAGTCATAACATTGTCAAGAAAACATATCTATATATATATATATAAAAGGCTAATATGCAAAGTGTCCCCTCGGGAGTTTGACCGGGAGCCCAGGAGTTCAATTACTGGCTATGATGTGCGCTGACCACCAGGGGCCAGCCCTGATCACCTTGTGCATAAATTTCATGCACCAAGGCCTTTAGTTTATTCATAAAAAGATAAAAATCTCATCCCAAGTGTCTAATTAATCTAACAACAAAAAAGTTGCTCTTTTATACTGCCTGTTTCAATATAATATAGCATGTTTTAAATACTCCATTTTCTCCAAAAAGTAAAATAAAATAAAATGGGACAGTGTTAATTACAGGAGTAGCCCATGATGGTCCAACCCAGAGGCTTCCGTGTTTTTTACTCCCATCTATAAACAAACACACACACTCTGTATCCTGACTCAGTTTACACACGTGTAACTACAGCAAGTTTCATGAAGTAACATGTATCCCTGTTATGTGAGAGGCACTCTGATATTTCCTTCCCTGTTCTATTTTTTTAATTATTGCTTTCACTTAGTTGGTTTATGACCCACTAATAAACCCCAACCCCAGATAAGGAGCACTGTGCAACCTTCTTGGAGGCCCCTCCCTCCAGGGAGCATGCTGTGCCGTTTCCTTCCCTTCCCACCTCCCCCTCCCTCCCAGACCCTCAAAAAAATAAATAAATAAATAAATAAAATCCTCTTGGAAGCTTTCAAAAAGTGAGATAAGTGAGATTTTTATCATAACATGTTAATTACCAATTATATAAGACTCCCCATAGAACAGACCCCGCTTGACAGGAAACCTAGTTAAGTGTGGCCAGACCTTTACTCAAAGAAACGCAGAGCAGAGGAGCCAGACGGAGCACAAAGGGAGAGGGAAGTTGCTGCAAATGACGGCCTAGCCCGGTGAGAAGAGCTCATGAACAAAGAAAAGCAAGCAGCCACTGGAACCAAAGCTTTTGGAACGAGAGCCGAGATCTTCTATCCTTTGTCGCGTGAATTTGCTCCTTTTAAATGCAGCACCTCCAATGGAAACATACGTGCAAACAAAAGTTTATGTGCAAGCATTCATGGCAGTATTATTCGTAATAGTCCCAACGTGGGAATCACCCAGTGTCCACAAACGATGGATTTTTAAAAAGGAGTATGTTCTTCAATGGAATATTATTCAGCCGTAAAAAGGAAGAAAGTGTTCCCACATGCTGCAGAGTGGGTGAACCTTGAAAACATCACGCTAAGTGAAAGAAGCCAGTCACAAAGCCCACATATTACATGTACATGGAATGTCCAGGCGGGCAGTCCATGGTCAGAAAACGGATTACTGGGTATCTAGGGTTTCTTCTGAATATACTAAAAAAACACATGTGTTAAAGGGGTGAATCGTATGACATCCAGCTCAGTGTAGCTTTTGGATTTTTCAAGGGCAGCCCCTCTGCTCACAACTCTCCAGGCCTCTCCGTCTCACTCAGAGTAAAAGCCTAACTCCTCACAGTAGCTGCCACGCCCTCCACTTCCTAGCTCCCCCTAAACTTCCTAGCTCCCCACACCTCTCACACCACCTCCTCTCCTCCCTGATGCTCATTCCACTCCAGCCACACTGGCCTGTTCATGTCCCCCAACATAGCAGACACACTCCGGGCTCAGGGCAGCCCCATCTGGAGCAGCCCATCTTTGGCCTTCCCAAGCACTATTTTAAAAACTGCAACCTGCCCTAGCTGGCGTGGCTCAGTGGATAGAGCATCAGCCTGCGGACTGAAGAGTCCCAGGTTCGATTCCAGCCAAGGGCACATGCCTGGGTTGCGGGCTTAAACCCCAGTAGCAGGTGTCCAGGAGGCAGCCGATCATTGATTCTCCTCATTGATGTTTCTATCTCTCTCTCCTTCTCCCTTCCTCTCTGAAATCAATAAAGAAATATATTTTTTAAAAAAATTGCAACCCATTTCTCCTGGTTTCCACCACCTGCAGGCCTTATTCCACTTCTCATCTAGAGCACTTACCACCGCATATTATTTACTTGGCTGATGTAGTGTCCCATCTTTCCCAACAAGAACGCAAGCTCTATGACATCTCTTGGGTTTCATTATTGCTATAGCCTCGGAACGTGGAACAGATCATGGCACTGAGTGGGCATTAATATGTACTGACGAATGAAACCCATGCTAAAAAATCTGTGTTCCTTTCCTCTCACCTTCTACATATTCAAAGCCTGCCAATTCTTCGAGGCCAGTTCAAAAGTGATCTTCATAAACCCTCTGACACCCCAGCTGAGAGAGATCTTCATCTGAATTCCCAGACTTTATCCAAATTCTTTCCATCTAAAAAGCGGGGGAAGGCAAGCTATAGTGGAAAGACTTTATGGAGGCACCGAGTCCACCAAAGCACTGTGACTTTGAGAAGTCATTTATTTAACCTCTCTGAGTTTCAGTATTCTCATCTCTAAAAATGAAGGCCAGGTTTTTATCCAACAAACAAAAACGTAGTTTCCACAACAAGATCTATATACAAATGTTCAAATCTGCTTCATTCATAATGTACCACAACTGAAATCAACCCAAATATCCATCAAGAGAAGAGATCATCAAATTGTGATATATCCATAAATAGAATAGAATGAACTGATCCAACGGAAAAGATAAACTTCAGACATTATGTGTGGAAAAAGAAAAAGAAACTGGACACGAAAGCGTACATACTGAATGATTCCATTTATATCAAGTTTAGAACATTCAAAACTAATCTTAGGTGAGAAGTGTTGGGGACGGCTGCCTTGGTCGAAGGGGAAGCTTGGACTAAGGTATACACGGGGACTTTCTGGGAGATGGAACTGTGGTAGTGGTTCAATTATATATAAAATTGATGATATTTATTGAACTGTCCACCTAAAAAGTGAGTGCACTTTGTATGTAAATTATACCTGAATAAAACTGATTCAAAAAAAAGGGCAGATAGCTGAGGGGTGGAATATGAAGGCAACCCCTGACTTACAAAGTTGCCAGAAGGATTAGATAAGGAACATATGTACTGAAGTAAGTATGACACAGCGAGAGACTGCATATTGATGTGGGACTGAATCCCAATGGAGCCAGTTCTTATAGTTACTGGTTATAAAGCCTTGGACAAGTCACTTCATCTCTCGGAAATGACGTTTTCACTTCTGTTCGGACAATAACATCTGCTTTGCTTAAATGGTCGCATACTAGAGATCACCACGTTAATGCAGCATCTGACATACAACAGGTGCCCAGATGCTCTTTCATATAACATATAAAACCCGCACATACAGATGCTCAGTAAGTGTTTTCCTCTTCCCCTTCTTCCTGCATGAGCATTTTCTTAAGGGGAGAGGATCGATATCTGAATGATCTTCTGCTTAAAGTGCCTTACAAATGGCAGGCCCTCAACAAAGATTTTGAAGGAAAGGAAGGAAGCCGGATGGCCTGATGATTACGAGGGCTAATAAACAGGCAGAGCAGAGGATTTTCAGGGCAGCGGACGGACGGACGGACGTCCTCCATGCGGCAGGACGATGGTGAAGCCCCAGGACAAACATTTTAAAGTCTCTGTTGAGAACACTCTGTCTTTGGGCCACAGTCACCAAAGTGATGCGTACATGCATGTGCACAGGAACACTGATGAGGCTCCGTGCATCCTCCAGCGGGTGCCCTGACCTGCACCAGGACAGGCTTAACCATGGAAGTCAAACCTCGCAGCTCAAGGGAGTGGGAAGGAAGGTGGGCTAAGCCAGCGGTTCTCCACCTTCTGGCCCTTTAAATACAGTTCCTCGTGTTGTGACCCAACCACAAAATTATCTGCGTGGCTACTTCATCACTGTCATGTGGCTGCTGTGATGAATCGTCATGTAAATACCTGACATGCAGGATGGGCTTAGGCGACCCCTGTGAAAGGGTCGTTTGACCGCCAAAGGGGTCGCGACCCACAGGTTGAGAACCGCTGGTAAGCCTTTGCTGAGGGCAGTTCCACATGCTCTGCAGACCCCTCGGTTACTCGCTATCCACAAACGTATGAGATGGGAAGCATGCTCCCATTTCACAGACGAAGAAGCCGAGCCCCGGAGAAATACACGATCTGCTGGGATTCAAACCACCACCCGTCCGTCCGTCCGTCCGTCACAGCTCATAGATCGCACTTCCTCCCACACAGACAACCTGTCAAACCCTTAACAACGGGCTCTTTGATGGAGGAAAACACTCACTCCTCACGGGGTGTCTGCTATTCAGACCGGCTCACTCTGTGGCATCAGTGAACAAGCGCCCAGCACGTTTGTACGGAAAGTCATAATTATCAGTGAAAAAACACGAGCAGAGCCGAACACAAACCAGAATACAAGCTGGGGCTGCCCGGCCCGACCGCCGACCTGAGGCTGAAAGCTTCGCCCGGACCCACCACGTGCCAGCAGGTGCCCGGGACGGAGGCGCCGCTTCCGGCCTCAGTTTCCCTTTCTGCACCGGAGCACAGGCCCCCATCCCTCCGCCGATAAGCATGAAACGGTGCGAAACCAACACTGTGAACGGCAGCGAGCAACACACCCAGCATTACAGCCCGCCAGCCCCCCTCCGAGCGGCTCTGTCCACGGACAATAACCGGCGCCCACGGGGGGGAGGCGGCCGC